CACAGATCACATTTATATCTATACACAACGCGTTGTTGATTTACAATTGGTGGTTTCATCTCGTGAACTTTAACTTCTTCTTTGATCTTTCTACTTTTAAATACTGGCTCTAATGCTCTACCAATCACCGTACCAAGGCCTGCGAGTTGTCTTCGCACGATATCAGACGACTTCTGATCTTTAAACGGCAGGGCCACGCAAATCACATCTCTTTTCACATACTCAGTTGGGGTCGTGCTGTTCATTTCTGCGTATTTCTTGGTTACAAACTCAGAGATGATTGAGTCAACGAGTCTGAGAGGATATCGTAGATTGGAAAAAACGCTCTTTAGACGATCACACTCTTCCAATATATGTAATACTATAACTTGAAAATGATGCACGCTGTAGCATCGAAACGTCGTTTAATAAATGTGATGTGATTCTTGCGCGCGTTAATTAAGTATCACGTCAGCAAGCAATTTATGTCGTCATTTAACTGAAATTTATTGCGTCAAAAATCAGATATCACAAGCAGAAAATGTTCAATCATGTTATCCAAAAACCTGATGTTTGTTCAACCTATTTCAGAGAAATAAAAGTTTATATGCGGCCCATCTATACACGATACAACTAGTATGCGATTCTATGTTGGCGTATGTACTCAGATAAATGCATGTAAAGATGTCACATTTCATGACGTCAGCCGTCTGAGGTTCGACCGCTGCACCGAAATGGCAGGCACAGATAGAAATACAATTTTTAATATCTAATGTAAATCTTAATATTTCTTGGAGTTAACAACGACCACAAGTGCTTAAAAATAAAACAACTTTATTGTTTACAACTATTTATAATCATAATATCTAATCTGTGTTGCAGGTTCGATTCGTGCAAGAGGGCCTATATAGACTATAGTTATTTTTTGCAACTGGTTAGGTCTAAAATACACACTCGGAAACCCATCTGGCATCTACAACGAGTGAGTTTTTCAAAGACGAGCAAAATAGACTCTCGTGCAAATTGAACTCTTTGAAAAACTCACTAGTGTATATTTTTTCCAAATTGTACTAGAAACAATACTATTATTAATAATATACACGATTCGTGAAAGAATACGAAACAGTCGTCTGGTAATCTGCTCTTTTTTAAATCGTCATTTACATTATTTATATAAAAAGTATTCGTGCAATATGTAGCAGTGTCACATTTAAGTTCTTTGTTGGTTTGCGTGGCGATAAAACATATAATACTTTTGTTTGTGAACTTTGTGGAAACAACACCACGTAAATTTATTACTGTATAGCTTTGGATCCGTATGTCCGGAGTAATAAATTTACGTTGTGTTTCCACAAACAAAAGTATTATAGTGTCACATTTGTTCTATTATATATGCTTTTGTAAGGTGTAACAGTGGTATCTGGGCGCACGAGCTGCCCTGAACAAGTGTTGGTCAATGTTTCCTCTATCCTTTCAGCAGGATGTGAGCTGCTACGATAGGAAACGTCTCTTTGAAAGGACAATATCCTATTTCTTTCCTCGTGGTCTTAATTCGTCCATACAACTGCGGAGTAGAATCATCGGTTTCACGGACGGATTGAAATATTCGTGCCCCTTGAAAAAAATAGGGAACACGCTAAACATTCTGGAAAATCAGCGTAGGATCATAAGGGTAAAGTATAAGGGAGTGTACCAATAATCCATTATTCCAACTAACTGCTGAATTGCAAGAGAACAGCCCATATACCTGCTCCTGTCGAAACCTCATTATCATAAAACGCAATAATCTTGGTCAAATTTTGCTCTATCGGCAAATCTTCCACAAGCATTCACGCACTTTATTCAAGGTTTACACTCAGAAAGTCACAGTTCTATTATTTTATGGTTAAAGGGGCAGTGTCACGGTTCTACTGGCTACTGCGCATCCGAAATATGCGCGAACTTGAAAAACTGTCTGCTAACAATTAATCAAGTTAGGAGTGAAATGCGACATTCTTGCTTTGTTTTAAAAATTGAAGGCTGCTGCATCTTTTCCAATCGTATAGCATTAATTTTAAACGTTTCTTTGCGCTGTTTATTTTAGCCATGCAATGAGCGCCGTGACGCTGCCCCTTTAAATCATCTTACACAAGATCATCCCATCACCATGCATGTCTTGGCCTGGCCTGCATTGCGTCTGCAGTTGCACTTTGGTCTACAAAGTGGGCTAACCACGACCTAGAAATCATACTATATAGTGTTTTGCATGCTGCACGATTTACCATCTGACAAACAAAGGTGAAACTCTGTAAAACTAATTGCTTTATGCACCATACGTCCATACCTTTGACCAGTCGTAGCAAACGGAGTATGCAAAAATATTTCCAGTCGAATCAAAACTACAAGTAGATATAGGTAGACTTGCAGCAGGATCTGACGTCTAGAAATAACATAATCATGTAAATGACGTTGCGTTTTACTCTGTTTACCGCCAGACGAGTTTTCTTGTCTTGTCAAGATGAAAGTGCTAGCACTCGATGGTTTAAATAAGAAAAACGAAACGGATCCATCATCCATGCAGGCTCATCGCAAATTATCATGCATATTAATATGCAAGACTCTCGGCCTCGACGAGTAAAATCATGTGTTGTTGGAAAGAGCGAAATAACAATGTACAGTAGGGCGTGTGCATTTGGGTGCAATGTATGGATTAACAAGACACATTGTCAGATAGTTTGGTTAACACAAAACTGTCCCCATTGTCGAGTAAAGTCGTCTGGCAAAATATTAAAGTAGGGTAAGCACATTGTAGCTTAATAATAATGGTTAGATATCCACTATAGTTGGTGCTGACTTTTTCTGAGTAGGATGGAATTCTATAGAAGTTTACTCCCCAAGAAAATTGCCTTTATAGTTTATACCTTCAATTTCGTACGTGCATCTTTATCCCAAAAACTGAACTTCCCATCCGATCCAACGGTCGCTAATGTACCAAACTGAGGGTGAAACGATATGCCATTCACCTAAAAAATAACATACACATATATAAGTTTATTAGATGTTCCTCGAAAGGCTTTCAGCTCTATTTTACAGTGCTTATTTTCGTTCTATTGCTATATTTACAAAAAGTTTAAATTTACTAAAAACCTATTTTAAAACATTGTCGTTGATATAAATTTACAGGAGATCAATTACTTAAGAAATCTGTCAGAAGAAATTTTTCCTGAAGACCTTGCATTAATGGTAATTTAGTTAGTCCGACAATTTCAAGATTCATGAATCATGTAAAATGAAAACATCTTGAAAATATATTTTGCAGGCTTTACAATATCAGCCGGTCACGGACAACGTCCGACCATTTATGAAATCGTCCGACGTAGAGAGGAAACCACTGGATATTCTGTCTGACCTAAGTGAAACTCAGATTTATTGTTTGTCCGATCCGAGAGAATTGGTGTCTGACCTAACCGTACAGTAACTTTGTCCAACGTAAATCAAAATGTACCCTAGTGGAGGCTCGTATGTTAAATGGAGAATCAGAGTAATGTATAGGAGGTGAACTGGAAATGTATAATTAAGTGCGGGGTTTTAACAGCGAGGTGCGGTTCGCAAATTCATTGACATTGCTTTTCAAATACTTTTCCAAATTGTGCTAATATTAATTTTAGTCTGTACTTGTTTCCAAGCCAAACTGAACTCAAAAGTCACCACAATCCATATGTCCGACCTCAAAGTCATCGAACATTTTGTCAGACGGTTTTATGACCGATATTTTAAGGCCTGTTTTGATACCATTACAAAACAAGGATTATTTCATACAGCATAAATATCTTGAACATTGCTTGAGGTCGCTGTGTTACTTCTGTGACATTTGAACGTGAAGTTATCTTTTCTAAAATGACGAAAGTTATAGATAATGAGCAAATTTATACTAGGCATGGAGAATCTGATGAATAATGCATCTTAGAAGTACCAAAATTCACTTACGGATTTATAGGATTAATGTAGTGAATGGCAACTCTTCCTTCGACAGATCCCAAAGCAAATCCAGTTGGTTGCTGGTTTTTGTCTTTAAAGATTGTCACACAACGATGCTAGGTAAAAAATATTGCAGAAATTCGGCATTTGTCACCTTTTTTCACAGTACATGTAGTTCAGATGTCTTTCATCTCGGCATTGGTTTGGTTGGCAGGGGGGGGGGGGGCTAAAATCTCAGGGGTTTGGGGAGGCCCTACCTGCACCATCAGATCAATTGAGAATTGATAAAAGTATCCATATCAATAAACTCCTTACTTGATATTTTAGCGGAGACTCGATTTTCTGAAAAAGTTTGGGAAAAAATGAGTTGATAAGGTGTATAGAACTGTTAACAAATACCAAAACGTTTTAACATTAAAGTCAACCATGATGAAATTTGTTACCAACCTTATATTCTCGTGGTTGGCTATCCAGTTGGTAACAAAGTATGCCTCGCTGTGCAGTACCCACAATTGCCATGGGATACACTATGTCAGCACAATAACATCGTTCTGGTAACTGGAATTGAATGACAGGGGTCGACTGTCGCATGTCCCAAAATTTGAATGTCTTATCCCAACTTCCTGTGACTATGCATGTATAGTTTGGCGCTTGGACGAAATTGACTGTTTTTATTGGTTGGTCATGCTGTAAAGAAATGCATAGAAAACAAGTTTTAGGTAGTCAGACTGTGTTGATCAGTGCATCGGTCTGTCAATCCATCAGTTACCTTTTGGCTGAGAGAACAACAAGCATACCATAATGATTATAAGTTTATGCGTAATTACGTTTAAATTTTGAAAATAAACATTGAAGCCACGCCTTAGAAACGTCTGAAAATCTGCCTAGAAATGTCATTGTGCAACCATTAAAACTAACATGTCAACTATTCACATTAAACAGTCTACCTGAGTCTGCAGTATTGACTACATAGTATGTGAAGTTTGTTTGATCCAGTTTATAGTGCTAAGTGCTTCTAACACAGGTTGGTAGTGTTCCCTACAGTACTTGCAGAGGATTTTGCAAGCTTTGTGATTTTCCACTTCTCAAATTGACCAGTGCTTTACAAACAATTTTCAAAAAATTATTTTACCATAACTTACCTGAGCTACAACAACACATTGATTGCTATTCAAATCCCACATTTTGCATGTCTTATCAACACTTGCTGTAAATACTTTGCTGCCATCCTTTCAGAAAGTAAAATATTTTAATAACTAAACAAAAATTTGAGCATTGACCTCCCCATATCATTTTGACCCATTGAGCACCAGCACCCTCCTCTTGATGAGTAAAACCATCTGGCATTAGACAGAGTAAAATAATAAAATAGGGCACTTTGCCACTTAAAGGGTTAGTTTGTCTACAATGCCAGATCATTCTACAACATAGAATATAACATTGTCTTAGAGGATATGTGTAGTGTTTCAATTATATATTTCAAATAGGGATGAGCCGATTAATCGGTAAATAATCGGCAAAGCCAATTAATTGGCCGTTTTTTAAATAATCGGTAATCGGCCGATTATTGCCTGATAATCGGCCATAAGACTTTTTCTGCAGCTGCCAAGCACATGCTAAAATACTGAATACAAGCGAATAGATTTTCATATTTTATTGCAAAACCTGTGTCTTTTGTCTCAAGCAAAGTGAAGCTGGGAACATTTCCACTGAAAAACGCAGCAGACTAGCTCCGCATAGCTGACAATATCCTGTTTTTACACCATAATCTGCCAAAACTAAACTTTAACTATTGACATGCAAGATTGAAGCTGTTTTTAATTGTACATGGTGCATATTGTAAATAATAAAACCGCATTTACAACTTCATTGTTGGTCATCTTGTGATTGTTCTCTTGCTTTTTGAAATAATCGGCGGGTACCAATTAATCGGCAGATTAGTTACGACAATCGGCTTATAAATAATATTGGCCTCAGTAATCAGTAGTTTTCCTTATCGGCTCAAAATCATCAAGTGAAACAGATTTTCATATGATATTTCTGATAAATTTGCAATGGCATGGTAAATCCAGGTTCTAAAAAATCGTCACCATCGATATCAGATCATCCTGCATCTGCTGAGACTTACGTCATGCCAACAACAGTCTAAGATGGGCCCTTGATGAGTCTGTTGTGCCTTCGGTACAGCGTTAGTTGTGATCTCCCAACACCGAATCTAATTGTAAATGAAGTAAAAGCTACAGTTTTTTTGCAACATTCATATTGCCGTAAGGGGCTATGGGAACACCGCGGAAAAACGTCTGCGCATGCTCCAAATTATGAAAACATGGCGGGGAATTTGAATATCAATTTCTAAAACAAAAACATGCTTATTAATTGGTCAAAAATTAGTAAAACAAATGAGAAAATATAGCAAATGGGTAGACTAGACATTAATTGAAAGCGTCCTGGCATTTAAAGTATGGAATAAAATATAATTCATGTAAAAAATTGTTGATTTTAACGAACACGACTTCGAAAATTTTTGCAAAATTATTCAAAACAAAAATTCAAACTCAAAAGTTAAGAAAACTCTCGAAAAGTTAAGCTTCTTAACCCACTCAAATTGTAGAATAAATCCTAAAGTTTAATTATTGTGAACACGAAAATTTTTTATATTTGGCAACACAGTTTTTTTAAAGAAATGTATCTCAAACGAAAATTCGGAAATTGTCGTTGCTTAGTTGATAAACAAAATGTTTCAAACAATAAATTTGTCAACAATCACCTTTAGTTCATGTTCTTGTACAATACAATTTCTTGAACCTTCTGGCTGTATTTATTCCTAGTTTTTAGAATGACATGTTTATTTTTGCGCTCGAAATCTGGCTGTAAAGACACACAATGAAGTCACTCCTTTTTACCGCCATTTTGAGCCTTCGGAAACGTTCAGAACAGCTTCTCATTAAGTTCGCAATACTATTACAGGTAAGGTTGACGCATGCGCAGACGTTTTTCCGCGGTGTTGGCTATGGGCAGGTTTTTGCGTCATGATTAGCTGACTGGGTAATGAAGCTCATCAACCATTAAGGTTCCACGAAGGCGAAATTCTGTCTGCGAAATACAGATGGTTTATACACATAAGTGATTTTATTGAATTTTACCATTTTATTCACTTTCACAGTGAATAGAACTGACTTCTACTTTTTATCTTGCGAAGTCTAATTTATTGTGCGCATGCACAAATTCATTTTGTGCGAAGTGTTTCGCATTTCGCCAAGAAAAGGCGCTCATGGAATGAGACCACTAGGCAAATTTGTTTCCACTAGGCGAATTTGTTTGCACGAAACGAATCTTGGCAATGTGATTGGTCAGCGAAAAAGTTGGATAAGTTCCTAGTGGAAAATGGGCTAAACTGCAACACATGATATGCAAACATTTGACCCTGGCCAATTTATCAGCTGATCATTCATACATAGACCAATTGCAAAACTTAGTGGCCGCCTTCATACTGCACGAGAACGAGGCTTATTATGCAAAAACAAAACAATTTCTATATTTTTACATAGCGGAAAAGTGAATTTTAGGGTTTTTAAAGTGTTTTTTCTTGAATCTCTTTGATCGTTTCGTAATATTTCGTGCTAGGTTATATAAATATTTGTTAAATTTATCTAAACATCGATTTCCCACTATATTTTTACCCGCTTTGGAGAGATATTTCGTTGTTGTTTTAGCATGCGATGGGACCAACATATGGAAAAGATCAATCGAGACTTTAAAATCTGATCAAGATGCAAATAAAATAGCCAGTATAACTTAACAAACTAAAATATAACTCTTTCTACCCAGATTTTTTTAGACTTCGTGCGAGAAAAAACAATTTTGTCAAAGGATAATAACATAAAATTTCTACAAATTTTGCCCGACATTTACTTTCATATTTTTAAAGTTAAAATCGAAAACTTGCTATTATATTACAACTGAAACAAAATTTAATCACTGTTACAACTTATTCTTTGAAAAGTATTAATAAAACAGACGGAAAATACCTGATTCTTTCTCTGGTATAATCTGCTTCTTTTATCGGACGGCGAAAAACAGCAAAACTTTGCCTCGCACGCCGCAAAAAGCAATGAAATTTGAAGTAAGACTAAATCTATGAACAAGTTTAATAAAGATTTACATGGTCAAAACAAAAATATTGAAAAAAAATAAAGAGATTGCCATAAAAACGCGTCTCAAACACTGAAATTCATTTTTCGCCATATAAAAATATAGTAGAATGATTTGTTTTGCATAATAAGCCTCGTTTTCGTGCAGTTGAAGGCGCGGTCACTAAGTTTCGCAATTGGTCTATTGCTTGCCTAAAACGCGCTAATCGCTTGAACGTGCATCACAATCATCAATTGGATCCATTCATTGTTGGTGGATCTACGTTTCATCCTTCAAAACTATTATAATCATTATATTTATTTATCATTGATAATATTTAACGTTCGGTCGAAATTGCAAAAAATATTGTATAGTATAATTGAGTATGAGCTTATATATAGATTCTGCGAGTTACATCATAGTTAATAGAGGAGATGGTTTGGAAACTCGTTAGCATTACAATAAAATCACAATAAACCTCATTATCTATGTTGTTCAGGTTTATGCAAAAATGTGGTCTTTCATCGTCACGTGCGTATTGTATTTTTCTCAAGTCAACCAATAGGAATGTTCAAAATGTCCTATTGTTAAAGTCGTGGATGGGCATGCAATTGGACAAAGCCGTTGCTATTGGCTGGTTGAGCAAAAATACAATACGCATGCACGTGACGATGAAAGACCACATTTTTGCATAAACCTGAACAAAAACATAGATAGTGAGGTTTATTGTAATGCTAACGAGTTTGCAAACCATCTCCCCTATTAACTATGGTTACATCGAGTTACACTATATACGCGGAAGTTAATGGTTCAAAAAATTAAAATGGAAGTTGCAATATTATTCTAGTTGGAATTTGGCTCAATAAATACAGCACAGTTTTTGTTCGGAATTGTGGAAAATATGACTAATTACTCTAAATCGGTGTTTGATACTTTTAAATAGAAACACTTTCAGATTTGGGGCTGGAATTTCTTGGTTCATCTGCAAAACTTCATTCTAATTATTTTCAAATATTGTATTAAATTGCTAACTGATGCGTTTTTGTACGGATCATAGGGACTGAATCAAACAAAAAATTACAATGAACCATCTGGGAACGTCAGTTGCACAGTGAAGTGCTATTATCCGAAACCTGAAGACATATTATTAAATTGTGTGTTCTTGCCCTGTTAGGTCTATTGGTGAACTTGAGCGATGCTGATACATTTTTACACAGTCCTAGAGGTTCAAACAACCGCTTGAATGGAGCGAACGTTAATAGGGGAAACAATAATCGAATGTTCGATTCTCAGGTAAGTTTCTATAGCCTCAAATATTCGCATTCCGTCCATTCATCTAATCATAAACATTTATTGCAATATCGGTTGGGATTAGTTAGTTACGATTAATGCGTGATAAGGCTTATGTTTTAATGAAGAAGGAAAATAATTGTAGTACCCAGAGAAAGACCCCCAACACACAGACGAGAACCAGCGAAACTATATACTAATTAGCTACTGTAAATGACTTGGACTAACCGCAACAGCCACCCATGCAGACTTCTGTGTTTTTTGTAAACAACTTCACAAGACTATACATTTTTATATCTTTTTAGAACAACGCTAAGGGTGGTTACAATGTAGGCGACAAAGATCAAAAATCAAACAGCGAGGAAACACAATTTAACATGGTAAGTCAACAGCTGTGGGCTACTGTGAGACTTTATAAGGCTGAATATTAAAATAAACATTTTTCGCACCAATTTTTATCCACAAGTAGGATAAACCTTCTGCACTATTTTGAATTGCAAAACATTTTAAAAGTATAGTATAATTCAACGTTATAAAACTGTTTTTATAAATTGTGTTTTAATATTATGCATGCATGCACTGCTTATTCGGAATAACTTTTGTCCTATATTTGCTGAAATGATCAGCCGGAAAAGGATAAGGTTATAGAATTCTATAGATGTTATACGAATACCACTAAGCATTACGCTTCGTCACTTGAATCTATACACATGCATACTACATAGGTTAGAAAAACATTATTCTTGCTGTATTATTGCATTTTATATGAGTACAACAATAGTCCAATGCAGCACTCTTGTGTTCCTTATTCTTTACTCTATAATATTCTTGGGAAAATAAAATTTCCACCAAGCATGCATGTATTCTACAAAACTTGCCAGAACTGAACTGTCCGATTGTTGATTAAGAATTGATTCAGACAAATAATGATATGGCTTGATAACGTTACCCTCGTGCATATTTAGAGAATCTGGCGGAAATTTATGTTGGTTCTAGTCAAGTGACCACTGGTTTGCCAAATCGCATCCCAAACTGCAAAATTCGCAAACATTGAGCAAATTCAATTCTCATCAGTATACAACTCCCATGCATTTTCGTGGTTAACAAAAGACATATTCCAGCTGTTAGATATTTTAATCATTCGCAACACTCTGTGCATCTAAACGTTCAGAAAGCATCCTAAAGTTATGAAATATTTTCAGAACTATTTCCAAAGTGGTAAAGGCTATGCAAGTACTTCAGGTCTGACAGGAAAGTCTCTGCTCACAATTGAGTGGACCAATCAACATGGCTGTAGTGATCGAGATTTAAACTGTAATTTTGTTCTTCAATATCGATGTCAAGATGACGCAAACAATCAGAAGTTGAATCAACACTCAATGAGGAATCGTAAGAAAAATGTAACTCCATCGAAAACAAGGAACCAAACGTTTCCTTCCTCATTGCTGAGTTTATGCTTCAAGTATTAATTGATCAATTATTTAAATAAGGATTTCTTTCCAGGAAACTATAATATAATTGTAGTCGAATAACCTTGTTAACAAATAAAGGATTGTGTTTAAATGCGTTTTAATCCGGGATTTAAATTAATGCCATGTATATTAAATTTCTCCAAGGTAAGGTAACCACTACTCCAAATTATAGCGGTTCTCGCAAGTACACCACACGCGCAAACAAGAACTATTGGTTGAATCGCGATTCAGTCAGTTATACCCGAGGTCTTCATGAATCCTGGGAATGGTATGATAAATGCACCAAAAGAAGCCGTAATCAAGGTGAGTTCTATATATGAAAACAAACAGGCTAAAAATAGTCCACTATGAGTTCTAAACTAGAATAACGCTATAGAGTAAGAAAAATATATGGCATTGGCGAGGGCAAAGTCAAGTCCGAAACATTTGCGAATTAAATTTCAATTGTACAAGTTTATCTCTAGGTCAATGAAAACATTACCTTTTGATATAAAATATAAACACAGTTTTGGATAGTATATCAAGGAAATGAATTTTCGAAAATAATCTATAAACTTGTGGTCAGGGTCGGATTATTCTAAGGAAATTTTATCACTGCAGAAAAGCGAGAAAAGTGATAAAATTTATATAAATTTAGCGACATTTTCGAAAAAGTTCTGACTGCCCTGCATGAGTGCATGTACTCTGGATCTGCAACTTATAGTTCACCCCATGCATGTCACCAATTATATGCAGGAAAATGAGCCAAAATCGCCGCTAATGAGCCCACATGACCATTTTGCATATTCTATTTCGTGCAAAAATATACACATTTTCCCTTATTTGAATCGCATGCATAAACAAAGCAATATTTTTCAAGATCTAGTCTTTCGCTCTCGTGAAAATAGATTAATCTATAAACTGTTGATTGTGTCACCAAGCAGCGTCAAAAATCCCAAAACAAAATATAACTGATCACTGAACAAATCTCATTTATCACTATACAAATTGGTTATCACTGCACCTTAGAATAATCCCTGCCTGTGGTTGCCTTAATAAATTTATTTTTCCTTCAGACGTCAAAATCTTCCTGGCCATCAGCAAAAACATTTATTATTGACATCCCTTTGCAAGTTCAAAACATCACATTCTTAGCTGGTTAATATAATTAGCTAAAAACATTGTAAATTTTTCCTGCCAACAAAAGCTCAAAAGTTCAAGTCCCAAAGGGAACAACTAATCATGCGTCAGTGCATCACCACAGCAATTAAGCTTCTTTCTATTCCGTACTTTATGTTTATTTTACTTCGTTTTGAATAATTATTTTAAATGACAAGTTTTTGTTTGAAATTTGGCTCTCGTAGGGCAACAAAAATACTATAATGCCCATGTGAGTAATACGGGAAAATGCTGCCTCGTCAGCATTAATTAACCAATCCAATTACGCGGTTAATTACGCGGAACAACTATAATATGATGCATGACAATTTTGTTGAATGTTCTTTCTCTTAATTTATAGGACTATTCACAGCTGATCAAAAACTGAACGGTCAGACAAGTATTTACACTCGTCAAAATGCAAATGGTGGTCGTAGTGGTTATGAATGTCCCGAGGAACGAGATTACTATCCTTACTGGCATCCTACAGACTGGATTGATATAGCGGTGTTTGCTTACAATGAAAGCATGTGTAAATATTATCGGAAAGAAAGTTTCAATGCCAAAAATAAAGGTTAGCCTAGTAAAACTAGTGTTATTAACTGACGTAATTTTCCAATAGAGCTAAAGTTTTTCTAATTAAGATTGATCAACCAATTAGATTTTTGATCTCATCACTGTGGTATGATTAATTCCAGCATTAAAGATGAATTCCACTCCGTTCTGTGAATCAGTTCTCCTCATAACAAAGGGGGACCCCGCAGATATAAACGTTGCACAAATTTTGCATTTTTCATTTACAAGTTGTATTCATTTACAAGCTTAGCGAACCAGAAAAGTGTTAGATATTCAGTTAGTATATTATATTTGACAAATATAGCAATTCAAAACATAAACAAAGTTCGCGCATGCACACAGGAGTGGACATCATCTTTCACATTTCTATAATGAGATCTTTGTTCTTTCTCAGTGTTTTGAATTACAATGATATAATAGTGTATTTCACATCAATCGTCTGTTTATATTACATCTACTAAAATCTGCTCCAGGTGAAAAACAATGAGATAATCAATTTGTTAACACGTGTTTATTGATATTTAAAGCGAGGTTTTGATCTTTTCGGAAATTAAATTAGTTTTTTATTGCTTTTTCGCAGGGGAGTGTCTTCAATACTACCCATCGAAAGCCAACGGTTTATAACAACGAAATTGACTGCAAAAAAAATAAAGGGTTCTGGATTTCGTTCAGCAACTATTTAGAAGAATACCCCAAGTATCAAACAGAAGCAAAATGTAAAGCTAAAAGTTCTCGTAAACTACCTCTTAAATGGGACATTCCTTACCGCTCTGAAGATATTGATGATTTAAAAATGACTGGTGATAATGTGGAGTCATTAAAACGTTGTTTGGTCGCACTTGATGTACCAGAATGCACCAAAGCTCCATACACAAGATCAAACCATTTAGGAAATGTCCAAGGTGTCGTTCCTTTCCGTTACACTTGGGCTCTTCCACATTTCCCGTCTGGTCGTGTACAAAGATGCGTCCTGAGATTGAGGTTAGTTATAAAGTTGTAATAATTTTTCAACACCTATATAACACTTATTTATGTATACGTATTTAATTAAAGACTTTTAGTAGCAGGAATTTAGGGAAAGACAATGCAGGAACTTCGTTACAAGAGAAATAATTTAATCTTTTCTGTCTTTCTGATCATGAGGATCTGTGTAATTTGGCGACATTGTATAGCAGGGCGAGGGGTTTCTGCATGCATATAATTCTGGTAGACCAGTTACACTAGTTACATGTATACTTCGTCGATAACGTGTAAAGGTTAGAAAAAACAGCGAACATATATGATAGTGTACAAAATTCCACGCCTTGTCAAATTTCGCTGAAAAGGGCGCTTGTGCCAATTGTTCTCCGCATCAAAAACCGAGCTAGAGCGCGCTTTACTTACACCCACTATACAAGTGTCCTAGTAAGGACACACAATTCAATCTTCGTTTTAAATTAGGAATGAACATTTTTATGGCTCATTTTCTTAAAATTTCACATACAATTTAATCGAAGTGAAATAATTAACTGCGAACTTACAATATTAAAAAAAATCTGTAACACGTTTCTGAATAATTAATTGTCTTTCACAAATTTTCAATTTCAGCAGCAACAATTTTTTAAATAATTATTTCAGGTCCATTTTGCTATGATGTTAAATAACCATCTTTCTCCTCTTTCCGTTGGTTAGGTACAACATTTCCACTGGAGATTATCCACCATTTAACACATTTAGTGATGAAAATGACAATCCGTAAGTATTCAAGATGTCTCACAATCATGACTTTCAACCCTCTAACAACTAATTATGTGTGGCTTTTCGAAAGTCGATGCTTGTTGGGCTATTATTCCAAAGGTCGTAGGTTCGATTCCCACCGTGGTCAGGCATATTTTTCAAGCTTGCCCGGTGTGGATATACATATACACACAGAGTAACATCACAAGCGTCATATTCACCTGAGTACATTACACCAACACAGAAAAAAATCATGATTATTAGATAACATTGATATCCAAGGAACTATAGATTCTGTTCCGAAATATCAGATACTTGAACCGACTAGACCGCGTAGCTCAGTTGGCAGAGCATTGGGCTAGTATTCCAAAGGTCGTAGGTTCGATTCCCACCGTGGGCAAGCATATTTTTCAATTAGCTTGTAGTACATTACACCAACACAGAAAAAGACTTTTGAACTGGTAATAACTATTTCAGCCACATCGTGTTAAACATGATTGGTTAAATTAACATATACTGTACTTGTCCAAAATACATGCAGCAATAAAAAAACCAAACAAAATTAAAGAGATGGAAAAAATAGTTGTACGTAAATGATTTTGCACGCTAAAAATGGGGAAATGAAAAGAAATTTATATATAGTGATAGAAGAGTCAAGCATGTAAACCGAGCGAAGCATTATAGTTTAGAAATTAGACATATAATGGCAACCGCATGATATAAGATGTATTTGGTTAATTTCGTTTTTGTGGACCTTCCTTTGTAATGTATAATTTTGAAATATATATTACCTTTTAACAAACTTTCATTCGTATGTCTTATATTAGTCTCAGGTTTTTTTCCAAAACTTCCGGAGCAATAACTATTGTAATAAAGCAAGCCTATTCTCAAAGAAATTATTACTTTTTATAAGGAATGCGGGTGTACATTCTCCAGTCCAAAACAATCCAAAAGTTAAAGTTGGTGCTGTTCAGTTACCATTACAACTTGCCATCAACACCGCCCAATTTGGACGTACTTTCCAAGATCGATCTCATTTATTCAAGCTCCTACCCAGGCCTATAAAGGTGAACGATAATGACGTCATCTATAATCTGAACGTACGAGGAAAGCGCGGGAATATCGTGCAAGCTTTTCCAGCGGTAGAATACGACTTTATCCCGAAACGAATGACTATTTCTAGCGCAAGTCTTGTGCATATCCAGTGGACTGGTAAGTTTTGGTTACATTAAAAATTATTTTATTACATTGTATCACCTTTATAAAAAAGATATAAGATAATGCGGTCGTCATTTCCTGCTGAAATCGAGAAAACGGTTGTCATCATATTTGACTGAGTCACAAAGTAGGCACTGTTGTAGCTGGCGCGCAAATGACAAATTTTGTATATTTTGTCAATTACTGGCAAACATACAACACAGTATATGCATGTAACTTGGGTTATAATGAATTGGATCTTTTTCTGTTTGGGCATCCTTTTTATAATCTAGCTCTTCAGTGCATGGACTAAACGCAGCATTTTGATTTGTTCCTGAGCGGTCAGAAACCAATGTTCAAATTTGACATCTTTATCAATTTCACAAGTTAGAATATTGTGGTCTTCAAATGGAAATAAATAAGTAGAAAAGAATTTACAAAGAAACAAATAATTATAATAAAATAATTAAGAGATTTTAGATTTAAATTCATCAGCAAGAGATTGTGCTTTAGCGAGTCAGACGGGTATGCCGTTCCATAGGGTAGCCCCTCGGTAAGTAAAGCTCTTCTCTAAGGACTCAGTTAAGGGTCTTGGAACAAACGTTTTATGTTTAAAGCCTCGTACATTGTGTTCGTGTATCACAGAAATTGCAGTAATTTTGTTGACAAGTAACTAGGAACCATGTTATTAACAGTTTTGTATACATAAAAGTTTTAAACTGTTGAGTGCGTATGGTTTTAAGGTTGGTCCAATACAATGACGTTAAGATATCTGAGGACCGAATGTTGTAATCAGATTCAGTAATAATTCTTGCAGCCCTATTCTGTAAACGCTGTAGCTTTTGTCCAAAACCCTTGCCTACAAGCTACCAAAACAGTGCTATACAATAATCAAAGTGTGACTGTATTAAAGAGTTGTAGGCTAAATGAAGACAAGAGTTGGCTGTGGAAGCAATGGTTTTTTAGTCTTCGTAGAACTCCAATCACCTTGGAGACTTTGGAGATAGACGCTACTGCTCATCATCACCACGAAGATGGATGCTATACCGCTCGGTCATACATATACAAACCAAAAATGGTCCATGCTTGCAGTCGGCAACTAATATCCTCCAGTCAGGACTACTAGCTTAGTCAATAACATATATATACCGGGTGGCGCAAAAAAAAGTACAACTGTTTGATTACTTGTAACTCAGAAACAATAAGCAGTAGAACCATAAATCGAGTTTAATTGCATCCATCGATATCTAACTTAAATTTTGGTATATTTGACAGGCATATTCGTCCAAGATTAACTGAGATATAAGAGTTTAAACTTTTGTTAACAATTTTGAAACGGTCACAAATTAGCTAAAAATCAGTTTAATAGGCCGTTTTTAGCTAATTTGTG